CCAGATAGACCTAAATAAACACTATTGTGCTCCAGCCTTTAGGCTCATTAACACCTCGGTTCTTGCCTTCATTCGTCAACGATAAACAACTTGATCAAGTTTATGACATCTCGACGCAAGGTTATTTTCATGATATGAGAGACGAAATACGAAAGCAATAACGAGGAAAACCAGATTATATGTGTACAGATTTAATGTTATATATATTTACTTTTGTTCTATATGCGTAGTATTTTGATTTTGACGAAATGCTGGAATTATTTAAACTGCATTCACTGGGATTACTTCAAATATAATTTTCACATATAATGACTTCTCTATACTCGGCGCCCAATTTTGTCAAACTATTCGTTGTAATATTGACGAATATTCGCATAAAGAAAAGTTTTATACCTACTTTATTTGGAAATGATGACAGTAAATAATTGAGATTTGTGGCTTATTAAACGATGATTCACTGTTAATGGTTTTATAACTGATCCGTCTAAACGTTGAACCCTTAAATTTAGCCTGATACATGAACAGAACTTAGACAGCTCTTTGGAATCCCACAAAGTTTGGACTATTGGAGAATCTGTAATGGAAAGTGCTGAAAGTCGTTTTTTAGTGTAGTTCTTTCCTTTTGTTTCACTTTACCTTCTCATATTTTATTGATGTCGGAGAATTTTTTCCATTCGATTTATTATGTAAAGAGACTGTATGTTTTTGGAACTACCCAAAATTTATTTTAATGATTTGTCACTTTCTGTATATTACCCATTATTCCTCACCGTTCTTTATTACCCCTTCTAAGACTTTTGTGAATAAAGTTTGCTGTCTTTTACCTCCGAGGTTTTTCTTTCGTCCGTTATTGGAGCACAATCGATACATCAATGGATCTACTTGTAACTTACGACCCTAAAAAACAACAGAACCAGTTCGGACACTAATATTTATTCGCAAATCACATGTAAGCAAGTAATCGTTATGATACTATTCATAACAATTACAAAACAAACTTCAAGTTTTGAGTTCCTGTAGTAATAACTTGCAAATACTAAACCAAAGATACAAACAAACAAGTGCACTCAAAACGCATTGAACTTATTATTATTCAGTGAAACCGTTTTTAATCGTTTGGATACTTTCAGTTTTCATGTAACGATGTTGTGGAGTGTTTAGGACAATCAATAAGGTGTGTGGCGATTCTTTTGATTTCACTTTGTATACGGTTGTGTATAGTACCTTAAAATATCGCAAACTCCTGGCATGTGATATTTTATCAGATGCAAGCCATCCACTACATTCACCTTTTTCGCCTTGTATATCTTCTGGTAGAACGAGATACCAAAATACCAGAATTCATTCAGGCATGTAGAGGTATAAAAGCTCTGAATTACCGTATCTTGGATATATATGATGTGACGAACAGGCCTTAAGTGCTAACCAAGTCATTAACTTGTGTTTGCAAACATATCACCAACCAAAATTCATACAAATTTTTATCTTATCAAGAAATCCTTGATACGTGCGGAGAAATTATTTATTTTGTTCATATAAATACATATACTGAGTTAGAGATTTTTTGATTTGTAAGAGAGACTCGTTGGGACGCTTTTTGCTGAGAATTCATTAGTGTGCTTAATATATAATATTGAATGAAGCCATTATTAATAAATTTTGTTTACTGCTCGTTTATCTGTTGTCTTTCATCTTGAATGGCTGAGAACCTTTGACATGTATCTGGCTTTCAAATTCCTATATGGCATGAAGCTAGCTCGTGGTGTTTCTGTGGATTTTTGTGTAGTATCGTGATATTTCACGAAATCGTTAGAAATAAGCAATGGAGTTATTGATCGCAAACGTATTTTATTTTCATCACACAAAAGCCTGTTTAAGTATTTTTTAATGGTATATTACTGGATTAAGTGGTAGCATGACAGTACTTTTAGAGTAGTGATTTGCTGATGAATATTAAGATTTATTCATTTGTGACAGAAGGCTTACGGCCTGTGTTGGTATTTTTCTACTAATTTTATGATTGTCTTGTCTTCTCTTGAATGTGTCCATTGAAAGGGATGGTAGCACTTTTTCGGGTGAAAAATTCCAAGAGTAGATGACTCGGTGTAAAAACACCTATGTCACGTGTATTTTGTTCGTACTTTTCTTTTGTACTCTTCTGATACATCCCCTCAATTGTTTTGGTGTGATGAGAATAAAAAGAAGATATATCATGTCCAAAATCACTAACGAGAATTCTGTACATTGGAATCAGATCTATGGTGGAACAGAGTAAAGATATTTGCCTTCTCAAGCTGCTCTTGGTGAGATAAACATGGAAGTTGTGGAATTGCACGAATAGCTGTCCTATGTACTTTTGTAAGGATATCTGAGTCACCTTTTAGGCAGGACTATGTGGCCTGAACACAGTCGTCGGGTAGAAATTTCAATGTTATAAACATGTTATAATCTAACTAGATAAACTTTTGCTTTTATGGAGTTCTAAACACATTAGCTGAGACTTCGACTCAGCTGGCCGTGGTATTATGATCATGACCCACTGTCACCACAAGATCCTTTTGAGACAGGTTTTCAGCAATACCTCTTTTCATATGCTGTACCTGATTACTTATATATCCCTAAAGTTCGTTTAGACACACTTGGCTGCATTGATAATCATCAGCCATTTTTAGACCAGCTGGCCAGAATGCCTGAGTCTTCCTAGAGTACATATGCATTTACGTCTTCTGGTACTTCTCACCAGACCTTTACATAATGAGCGTATAATTGCATCGAGGACCGAACTATACTTGGAAGTTCATTAACATACAGTATAAGAATGAATAACCTAAGTACTGGTTTTCAGAAGAGACATTCGGGATTTATTCTCAATTTCTTTCTACGACCCACCGAACCTCGATCTTTTCTAGGATAGTACCGGATTGTTCTAAATTTCCCAGTTACAGAAGCCGTTTACTTTTAGTGTTTTATCGAATGGTTTACCGAAACCTACGTGGATAACGTCTACTGATTTTTTATCATCTAGAGCCTCTGTCCATAGCTCTCTTACTATAAAAAGAGGTTTGTCGTGAGAGATGGTCTCTTTCTGAAACAATTCTGTTAGCTGTTTAGTAGTTTTTTCGTTTCCAAGAATGTCATTGTGGCTTCTTTGATTATTCCTCCTAGTATTTTAACAGAGAAGAAGCTGACAGGTAGGTAGTTTAATGGAAGTTGTCTCGACCCTGCTTCAAGCATTCGAGTGACAATTTCATCCTTCCAGTCCTTAAGTAGCTCACTTTGACAAAGTGACATATTGTATATCGTAGTCAGTGGTCAGTGGTGTATTATTATTGGCTTACGATTGATAAAGAGTTCGAACATTTTAGAGCTGAAAGTATCATTGTAGGTAATATTATTTTATGTAGTTAGACTGTTTGGGGTTATTTTATGCTTTTCCATAATGAGCAGATAAAAAAGACTAGCAGATTATACAGTTTTTAGCGTAGAAAACTGTTTTTTGTTCGTGATCGTATTTTCTATTCTAAGAACTGATATCGAACTAGTTAACTACACAGTTCTTTGTTTCAACCTGCAGTCAAAATTAAAAACTCCATATCGGCTTATATATGTAGAACATCCTCTAAAAGTTTGATTAGTCCGTAAGTTGTGATGGATTTTACAAACTTTGAGGTAAAGTTGTCAGATATCATTCGTTCTTATATTTGGATGTCCGCGAAATCTTACTTAGCTCAAATTTTGAAGCCTGTGCTGACTACTGTTTATACCTTACATAGAACTGAAAGCAAATTAAGCATATGTGCTCACCGATTCTACAGAACAATTAACAGAATGTCAGGATTGCAGGCAGCAGGTTTTGTGATAAACACGATAGCGATTTAATCCTAATTGAAACGAATATGGAGACACAAACTATTCTTCAAAAAAATTTTGTTTCAATGTACAATCTCATATTTAACACATCATTTTTACCACTACGGCAATGATGATGAATAAGACATTTGTTGTTACAAGTGTTAACAAGGTAGTACTACATCGATAACGTGAGTAAACTGTGACTGAGTGTTCACATTAATAGCCTTCTAAGAATCGTTAACTTAGTTCCGCGTGGAACGCTGATGCAAGCTACGTGTTAATAGACACCTTAAAGAAGATTACGCTTTGTGATGAATTTTTGTTATATTGTTATCTTCATACTGGATGACTCAAAATAGGTGAACTAATTAAGAACTAGAGTACCAAAGTCCTTTAATATATATGTAAGTGCTTGAATTAAACTTGCATGTACGACAGTAATCAACAACAAGTTTAGATTATCAATGTGCGAACATAAATGGACTGCTCACATATTAGTATTCGAATAACACCACAACTAAACATCTCTTTTGATTTTATTGAATTGATACTGGTATTCAGAATCATCTGAAGTTATACTACGAACGAAATAACGAATTTAACCGTAGTAATGTACTTGACCGTTGTCTTGCCCAATAAGATATTACGTACGAAAATGAGAATGTACTCGTGCTCACTTATTATCTCTGTATCAAATACCATTGGTTCTTTAATAGCAGTGCTTTAAAATTTATTCCTATGCATATCGTTTCACTACATGGTAGGTTAGTTCTTATTCTATATAAAGGAATTCTTTGGAATCATATTATAAATTACCACCTTCGATCGCCTCATATAATAAGACAACTGTGTCAGTTGCCCTTGCTTGAAAAACGTTTCACAATACCCAGAGTATTGTGAAACGAATGCCCACCTTTTTATGTGACAGATTACGGTGAATAGACTGATTTTCTTGAGAATGCCTATCAACACTATAGATAAAGGTATAATAATAATAATAATTTATTCTCAAATAACAGTTTGTTACATGAGGCATGCCAGTTTACAGGCAAGATCAAATTGATACAAATGTTACAATATACACTGTATTAAATTACATAGTTGGGTTGAAAATTTATAAGACATGAATGTAGATGGTTTTAATCAGTACTACAGTTGGCGCGCTTCACGAGAGTTGCGTTGCGAATGTGCGACTGATGCTCAAGGATAGGTTCATTGAAGGTAAGAGCTTCTAGAAATCGCAACCTTATGTCCCTTTGGGATATCCAAGGCTTTAAGGATGGTGCAGGATGAAGTAACCCGTTCCATATCTCAAGGGGGCTGAAAGAGGCAGCAAGTAAAAGAAAACACGAGAGGCAGAGTAGCCAATATTCATGTAGGAATGTTTAAGGTATGATTACTCAGTCTAATTTTCTTTTATTAAGGTATTTGTTAAGAAAGAGCATTTGAATAGGTTAAAGAAAATAAGTGTTAGCAAGGTGTGAGTGGACATACAACTGACAAATGGAGGCGATTCGGAAAACAGCTGAGAGTATAAGATTATGTGTGATTATAAAATAAAATATAGTGCTAGAAACGGTATTGTGATATACAACTAGCTATCTTCCTTTTATTATCGAAGCTAGTAGAGCACCTTTCGTTTTTTTTAATTTGTTTTTTTCAGTTATTATAGGGTCTTGAGTAGGCTTCGTATATTAGCGAATTGTCTAGTTTGCTTGTAATAGGATTTCTGAGTAGGAAGTGAAGCCAATTCAACGTTCGTAACACGATTTAAAGAGGTATTTTGCGTGATAAATCAGCTTCAATACCATAAGTCCGTGACATCCCACTAAACCATAAGGAGCCGTAATTAAACAAAATGTTCTGCCCTACAGACATGGATGGATTGAAGTTATCTCCCCACCTTCATGTTTGCTGGTCAGTAACGCCACCCTCCCTCCTTTTGTGATGTTAGGCTCTCTTACGTTTGTGGTAAGTATGATTAATGCTTTAATCAAAGCACATAGTTGGAATACACTGTCTCTACTAGGTCCATGTTACAAGCAAATCAGATATTTAAACATTCTGTTTTATGGGTTAGATGTCCATATAGTATATCACACTGCTATGAAAATAACTAATGGTTTAAAGAAGTAAGGATTAATAGTAAATCAAAAGATATGGGAGGGTATAAAATTGTAGAAAAAAAAAGAAAAAAGATTTTAGGGTGAGAAAAATAAAACATTGAGAAACTCACAAGACTTTGTGGCCAAATTTTGAGCTTTGAATGATCGGCCTTAGTATGTAGTGACTCACGTTTATCACGAGAACACGACTGGTTTAATAAAAACAATTATTATTACAACCAACTGTACCAGTGTTTGTTTTAATGTGCTTTTGTTTGACTGTGCTAATTATAGCCATTTTGTGCTTCCATTACCTTCCATCATTGTTCCGCGGTTTTTGGTACTGTTCGCACGTACTCCTGTCTTCTGCTTTTGCTTGTACCTTCTCTTGGCACGATCTCGGTATTCGTTCAATACCACGAGATCGCCAACGAAATAAATCTGGTTACGTTCAATCCTCGCCTTCTGATTTATCTGGCACGTGTTTCTTGGTAGCGGTGTTCACAGTTGATCTCAACTCGACGCCACGCTACAATTGGTAATCCCAATTCGACCACAATTGGTGACCCGTATTTTGGAACACGCCTTAACTTCTGATCAAATCTTCCAAAGAAGCCAATTCGGTGAGTCTATGGTTTATCTATCCACGTCTGTCGTATATTTTTATATTTTTTAATATATAATATACGCGACATGACGGATAACAATAAGAATAGTATTAATATAATAGACTCACACATATGTGTACCGAATCCTTGTCACTTTTTATTCGCGTGATGATGAATTCCACGCTTTATTCGAGAAATTCCCCGTACTCACTAAACCACTCGAGGAGCTTCCATCGGTGACCAATCGTGTGGTACACCACATAGTCACCCGCGGACCGCCAGTCACGGCACGACCTCGCCGACTGGCACCGGACAAATTAGCTTTTGCTAAGCGTGAGTTTGACAATTTACTAGCTACTGGTATTATTCGTCCTTCTCACAGTCCATGGGCCTCTCCTCTACACATGGTGCGCAAAAAAGATGGGGTTAGTTGGAGACCATGCGGCGACTACCGAGCTCTAAACGTAGTTACGCGCTTTGATAGCTACCCCATCCCCCACATACACGACATCACGGCATCGCTCAAGGGCACGACTATCTTTTCTAAGATCGATCTGGTACGAGCATATCATCAGATCCCAGTCGCTCTTGAAGATATCGAAAAGACTGCTATCACGACTCCTTTCGGTTTGTTTGAGTTCCTACGAATGCCATTTGGATTACGGAATGCTGCTCAAACTTTTCAAAGGTTTATCGATAGCATTGTACGAGACCTCGATTTTGTTCACGTCTATATTGATGACCTGCTAATCGCATCATCAAACGTAGATGAACATTATCAACATCTTACGCTATTATTCCAACGACTTTCGGATAATGGAATAGTAGTTAACCCAGACAAATGCGAGTTAGGTAAACCAGAAATCATATTTCTGGGTCATGTTATCAAGCAAGAGGGTATTTTACCTTGTGAGGACAAAGTGCAAACAATAAAGGAGTACAACGAGCCGTCCTCACTCAAGGAACTGAAGGCTTTTCTCGGTTTGGTTAACTTCTACCGTCGTTTCATCCCACACGCGGCAGAACGGTTACGACCACTAACCGACTTATTACGCGGCAACCCACGTAGATTGGAAATGAACGATTCTGCACGTACTGCATTCACTGAAATCAAAACGGCTCTTGCACAAGCCACTCTTCTCGCCCATCACGATCCATCAGCCACGCTTAGTATAGCGGTTGATGCATCCGATGTCGCTATAGGAGCAGTCATGCAACAAAACATCTCCGGTAGTTGGCAACCTCTCGAGTTTTTCTCACGACGCCTTACTGCCACGGAGACGAGATATAGCGCTTTTGGTCGCGAGCTGCTAGCAGCCTACTGCGCCATCAAACATTTTCGGCACGCAGTAGAAGGACGTCAATTCATTTTATTCACCGACCATAAGCCCTTAACGTATGCTTTGCATACCAAGTCTGACCGCTACTCACCACGAGAGTGCAGACATTTGGACTATATCTCTCAGTTCACGACAGATCTTCGTCACATCCAAGGCAAGTCGAACTGTGTTGCCGATGCTCTATCACGAATCCAAATGAATGCAGTTACCCTGCCGGTGCTTGATCTTCCTGCTATGGCCGCTGCCCAAGCAAACGATCCCAGCTGTACAGAAGCACCACACTCTACGTCCCTTCAGTATCAGGAAGTACCTCTGGCCACGACTTCTGGCACCATCCTATGTGATACTTCTACCGGTCTTCCTCGACCCATCGTACCCTCTGCTTATCGCCGTCTCGTATTCGATGCCCTGCATGGATTATCTCACCCAGGTATCGCAGCTACATTACGCCTCATCGCTGCACGATACGTCTGGCCGTCCATGAATAAAGATGTTCGTATGTGGGCTAAGCAATGCTTACAATGTCAACGATCAAAAGTGCACAGGCACGTAGCCGCCCCCCTCGGTACATTCGCTACGCCTGATGCTCGCTTCGATCACGTTCACTTAGACATTGTAGGACCACTGCCACCATCGCACGGGTGTGATCACATACTCACGTGCATCGACCGCTTCACCAGATGGCCCGAAGCTATACCCATCACGTCTATCACGGCGGAGACAGTTACTCACCGCTTCGTAGAACGATGGATAGCTCTATATGGTTGTCCCTCGACCGTCACGACTGACCGAGGACAACAATTTGAGTCCGCACTATTCTCCTCACTTACTCGGCTGCTTGGTACGGAACGAATACGCACTACCGCCTACCATCCAGCTTCAAACGGTTTAGTTGAAAGGTTTCACCGGCAACTTAAAAGTGCTCTTCGAGCACACGAAAACGACGACTGGTACGAAACCTTACCGCTCGTTCTTTTAGGTATCAGAACGAGTTTAAAGGCAGATATCCAATGTTCCGCCGCTGAACTTGTATACGGCACGACATTGCGTCTGCCCGGGGAATTCTTCACACCACGGAGCAGACCTAATTTCGCTAAATCAGACTACGTCCAACGACTGTCTGCATTTATGCGAACGCTGCCTCCGGTGTCAACTCGAATACAACATCGACAGGTCGCTCTCCCTCGAGAGTTATCTACCTGTTCACATGTTTTTGTACGAGTAGATTCGGTACGCAAACCTTTACAACAACCTTACGAAGGCCCTTTTCGCGTGATCGCTCGTCACGAAAAGACCTTCAAGGCTGATCGACACGGCCGCGTCGTGATCGTCAGCATTGATCGTCTCAAACCAGCACACGTCGATGACAGTGCCCTATCTGACAACCTGAGATTCAATGCTAGACCTAGCAAACCTACTAGCGGGATCCTCAAATCATCTACAGGTCCCACGCTAGATACATCTGAGACCTCATTCTCACGTCCCAGTCAACAGCACGCGTCATCTGCACCGTCTACGGACGAGACGACAGTCTCACGTCCAGATCAGCAGACCACGCCGCCCTTGACTTCGGATGAGATTGCAGGCTCACGCGACGCGAACGAGACTGCCGTCTCACGTTCCGGTCGCCGAGTACGGTTACCCGTACGCTTCCGCGAATAGTCGCACAGTCAACTACCGATACGGTGTAGGATTATTCCTATACTACACGTATGCTACACTCTTCTTTTTTTGATTTTCTTTTTGTTTCCTGAGCCCACGCCTTCGACCATCTCCGTTTGGTTCCGTCGACTTCAGTCAACTTTGGCGAAAGCTGGATTGGCCACCCACGCTCTTGTCAACGTACTCAGTCGATATATTGGTTTCGAACGCTTGGCACACGCTTGGTCACGAACTTGGTCGTAACGGTCGCTTCTGGTCTTTCGGCTCAACGTGGTTTCGTCCTACGTCTGCAGCGTTTCTGGTGCGCACCTCTACGAACGCCCTCTTCAGATTCTGGATACAAACCACTCTGGTGTAGCATGCCAACTCAAGCAATAAATACAACACATCGCTCCTGGTACCGTTCTCCGATAACGACCTTCGTTGGCAACTCGACGATCAACGATCGCTTTCCTGTTCGCCAATTCTTCCGTCCTACAATCGCTCATCAGCCGATCAGTCCCACGATTCAAACCGCTATTTATCGAAAGTGTAAACCCTTTCTAGCGGGGGGCTCCTGTAGTGACTCACGTTTATCACGAGAACACGACTGGTTTAATAAAAACAATTATTATTACAACCAACTGTACCAGTGTTTGTTTTAATGTGCTTTTGTTTGACTGTGCTAATTATAGCCATTTTGTGCTTCCATTACCTTCCATCATTGTTCCGCGGTTTTTGGTACTGTTCGCACGTACTCCTGTCTTCTGCTTTTGCTTGTACCTTCTCTTGGCACGATCTCGGTATTCGTTCAATACCACGAGATCGCCAACGAAATAAATCTGGTTACGTTCAATCCTCGCCTTCTGATTTATCTGGCACGTGTTTCTTGGTAGCGGTGTTCACAGTTGATCTCAACTCGACGCCACGCTACAAGTAGATCAGCATCCATAGGATTGAGCTATCTGTCTACTTGCAGTAAAAAAAAGCATGACTTTTAGGAAGAATAATGTACATTTAACCTGTAGAGATTTGGGGACTGAAAGCTAGGGTTAGGAGCATGAAATCATGATTAATAAACAATGAATAATAGGAAAGGATAAGCCATATATCCTGTGATTTGGTTATATTCAGATTAGTAACAGTCGAATTTGTTATAATTTTGTTCTTTCTAGATACTAGGCGGTCCGTAATAAAGTGCCTCATCGGTGGGCGGGAGTTCAAAGTAATGTTGAAGCTCTTTGGAGTCTAGAAATAGGGCTATTAGCTTTTTGAATCTGGTAAACGTATCACAGTTACGGATAGGCATTGGCAGCCTGTTCCACAATAAACTGTACCGTACTGTAAAGAACTTACAACGCATTTGTTTTTGGTGTTTTACGGTAAGTAGTGTATATGCGTTGTTTCTAAGTCTATAGGCTGGGTCGTGGGTGATAGTCGGGCAGGAGGTTAGAAAGGAGAGCCCATATATCGCTTTGTAGAAAAATATTAAATTGTGTTTTAGCCTACGGTGCCATAAAGGTTCTAAAGATAGATGCTTACATCTGTCTGTGTAATCGAGGTTCGAGTTACATCCTAGTAGTTGACGTGTGAAACGTCTTTGAACATCTTCTACTCTTATCTTGTCTGCGATATTCATATTAGAGAAGACAAAAGAGCAGTATTCAAGGGTGGGTCGTACACATATTTTGTAGAGAGTAAGTTTACCCTCTGTTGTGAAAAAGTTTTTCATTATAAAACCAATTAGCCGTCTAGATTTAGAAATAATAGAGGAGGTATGTTCTTCAAAGTTTAGGCTTCCTGTGTAATTAATTCCTAAATCGTGTACTGATTCGAGTGTTTGGACTATACATTCATTTAAGTGAAGTCGCGGTTTATAGGGATGCTTTCCTAAGTGCATGATCCCGCACTTGTTGAGGTTAAATGGTAATTGCCATTTTTCACTCCATATAGTGAAGTTATTGAGGTCCTTTTGGATCTGGGATACACTTTCGCTTAGTGTCTCAGGCTTATGGCTGTATACTATTTTGAGATCATCAGCATATAAGTACGGTTTCCCAAATTCTATGGTGTTACATATATCGTTTATATACATAAGAAACAAAAGTGGCCCTAATACGCTTCCCTGGATGACTCCACTGGTGATTGGTCTAGTTATGTGTTATGTGTTTCCTTGTTTAATGAAGGCGTTAACAATCCATTATTAGGTTATTCTGGGCATTAAAAGTCTAAATGGTAGGCAGAAGAGCATTACGTATTGCGGAGTAGATGTACTTTATATAAGTCCTCGGAGCAATAGGCTATTCAAATAATGTTAACATTGAGTAGCATGGATGTGTAGCTTCAGCACGCACTGTAAGCTAGTTTCATGTAGTATCACATAAACCTATCTCAGACATCCATACTTGTTAGAAATACCGATCTGCCTTCCCGTCTTTTTAACAATATGAAAATATTTTGGGTTTACTGGATATATTACTAGGACATTCGAATGCAGAAGGTACATTCGACTGCACATCACTGTGTAATATGTTCTACGTATTCGTATAACCAAGGTAGACACATATTTTGTAAATAACATGAATTTTCTGTGCAACTATGTTGTCCTGGAGTCGTCAGCTGCACGTCACCATTACCAGGATATGTGAATCTGGAATTAGGTCGATCCTAGAATATGTGTGCTGTCTGTATGTGCCAAAATTAAGTTTCTTCCATATCGGTCGGCTAACCGGGGGAACAGAAGTATTTTAGTGGTCCACTGATCTGACTACCATATGATCGGAAGGTGATGTCAACGAAATGTTCATGGTGGCTACCCTCGTATATGATTATCGACCTAATTTGCGCTATAGAACACTAATGCAATAATTTAAATAGGAAACTGGATTTTGGACGTGTTTACTTTATATACACGTTTTCCCCCACAAACAATGGGAGAAGTCAAGCGGAGAAGCAGACCTGAGAAGGAGAACATACCATTTCGTCATATTATTGATTAAAAGCGTCGCTATATGGCAAAACAAACGGTGCATAGTGTAAAAAGGATGGAGGTCCTGGATTAAGTAAGAAGCGAGAGACAAAAACATACAAATACACATTTGGCGCATAAGAGTAGGAATACAATCACATAAAGGTAACACATATATGTGTTTCTAAGGTCACGAATTTTCATGAAATGAGTAATTATCACAGAGGCAAAATGATCTAAAGCCACATGTTGAGTGACTCATTGAGGTCTGTTCAAAAACTAGAATGAAACATGTAAGTGTATATTGCCACTGGAAACTACGGTATAACGATAGTGAAGAGGAATTCTGACTAGTGTTGCAGCTGCTCTTCTGACTTTATTACGGATTTTTTTGTTAGTGAGGAGATTTGATCAACCTTATTACAATTTAACCATGATAACAGTTAGGAATAATACCAATACGCATGGTGTTGTCAAAATGTTTTTGGATATATGACGATAGTGATATTGTAATGAATTTCGTATGAACATGTTATATTCATTATTCGAACACGAGGAAAATCGTTTGAGATTCACTGTTCTGAAGTGCAACATATCATTTAGTCATCTTCGCATTTATGAATTGGTGAGGCATACAAGGTCATCACATGTAGTGAGTTTGGCATAAGTTAATGATAGAGTTGCTTGAAACTGGGTTATTATAAGCTGTTGAAATCGATTAAGCTCATACACCAAAAATATGGGCAGCGTGATTTCGTACAGCGTTTTCAGCCCAAAAAAACTTCTGGGAATGTTAAACGGTGAACTTTACTCATCTGACTATCAGGAAAAACGTAAGTTTAACCAAAGGGGAAACAACGATCAACCCATTTTCATGATAACAGTAAATACTTTGTCAATGTCAGGGTAAATATGGCATTGATGTAACAGTCAAGGAACCAAAATTTACATGTTCAGTCCAAATTAGATTCTTCTGCATGGCTTACTAAGCGTTTTTGAGTAACTCGTCTTAAATCATATCAAAACATAATCTCTATGCCCTATTTGAGCAGTTCTAACTTAGGAAGGATAACGAACCATATCAAATAGCACAGCCTGTGCTATGCATTCAACGGTTTTTCTAGCACAAGATAACATGATGGGAATCAACAGGAGTGTTATCACAAAATGCTATTAAATGTCTATCTGCAAGGATTCCAGTTACCTTTCCAAGTACAGCCAAGGGTCAACAGTAATAAGCTGAACAAATTTATAACCTTGAGTTTATTTAAACATAGCCTTACTGACAACAAGTAACGGTGAAATTAAGTAACAAGGGAAAATCTTTAACCAAAGTGAATCATTGAATGCAAACACAAGGAAAACTGATGAACACAAAATGTGGCTAGAAGAAGCCTGGGTAAAATTTAAAACACAAGGCGGATAAAAGAACAGATAAATAACGATACTGTTCAGTTAATCATTATAAAGGGATTTTCTGGCGTGTTCTTTTTTCACGTGACCCACTAAAATCCCTCCGGATGCTTAAAGACAACTCTGTATTCATTCAGTCATGGCTCTACACTCTAGCTAGCACATGTCAGTGAGATACACATGAGATACAACAGTACTCCTGTTCAATTCTAACTCTAGCTCAGTTATTAGTCTGCCTCCGAAATAAAAAAATTTCGCACATCTCTTCTAATAACTTCTTCCTTCATCCCCATCACTGTTCCTACAAGAGATCCTCATTGTCTTTGCAACAAAAGCGTCTATTTTCGTTATAGTAGGTACAACATTAGTTTTAGAGAAACGGTTTACAATCCTTTGATTATTCTTACGGTATTGATTGAGGATAAGCCAGTGAAAACAGGTGTTTCTGTTTCAGATGCTTATCACAGTTGATGGTTTAGAATTAGCACATTTTAATGTTTCAGAAATGTCAGCAATTTGATATAGTTTGTAGAATATAAGTGAGTTTGAGTTACTTGACATGTCAGTTCATTATTCATGAAATTTAATAGTGGACTATGGAGTCTCTATTATTAGCACTCGTGTGGCTAACAATTACGATTTGCTCTAGTTATAACAATGTGGTATAATAGTAGTCACTGAATGATGCTCAGACGTTCTACGATCCCCTTATCACCTATAGTTTTGACTGTATCTAACGTCCGCTTAAACTACTAATGCAACTGATGAATTCATATACCCCAAAAATACAAAAATAACAAATAAGATGGGTTGAGCGAAAAATGATCGTGGCAGTTGAAATGAATGTCAAATTCCAATGGTATAAAAATAGTAAATCACAAACGTATTTGTAAGCTAGGTTAACACACTGTAGGGCCAGTGAAATTCCACTGAGCTCTAGCTAAATCATCCTGCAGTTGGGTCACTGATTATCGAACAAATCATCGGTCCTCGTCAAAGTCAAGGACAACCAACGTGCATCAGTTAATCGTATGCCATGGACTGACCCATGCGGCGGTCGTCTTACTTTCGCTTGTATCTACCTTAACTAATATATTTCTTTAGTAACGTCCACTGCGTTGTGCAGTCTTCAAAGCATCTATAGTACCTTGATATGGCATTGGGGTAGTCCACGTAAGGTGCTGACCACGAGGTGTGACTTTTTCGTTAGCCTGTTCGTCACACCATTCCAGTCTAACTCGAGTAGGCCTCCAGTTATTTTGACATAGATCATCTACGTTGGTAATCTACAATACATTCAAATTTTGATGCTTTTGAGGATCAGATGGAAAGGTTCAAAATCTGGACTATGACCAAGAAAGATTTTGACGATGTTAATATTGTGACTCATTTCCTTACATTCATCAGTAAAGAAGCGTGCAGCTCAATAAAATCTCTGGGATTTCTGGAAGTGCTTATTTTTATTCCTCATGT